ATTGCGATTGCGAGTACACGGAGACTGCAGATAAATAAATGTACCTTTTTATGTTGTAGAGGTGCAACGATCAGAAAATGAATGGGTATATTTCAATAATCAATCCATCATTTTAGTAATTTTCTAGTGAAACATTTCCTGGTTGCAGCTAAACGGGAAAATTTGTCACTTTTCTTTGTCATATATGACAAAACTGAAACAATTCAGATGCCACTTAGGCTACGTTCACACTGCAGGTCTTAATGCTTAATTTCCGATTTTTTGCTGAGATACGGTTTTTTTGCATGGTTGTTCACATTATAATTTAAATGCGTCTGTCATCAGACTCCAATGTGAACATTCCTACAGCCCTGAAGTGACCCGCATGCGCAGAAGAAGACATGACGTATGACGTTACAGCACGCTGTTTACAGCATAGACATAGTTTCTATGGTTTACAGAAGTACATATGGATGTCAACGGTGTCTGCCATGCTTTCGTCAATTGTTCTGATATTGCCACGCCCCGCCTCCTCTGGCGCAGAATTGTGACAAATGTCGATGTAGATTGACGTAAAAGTCGCATCAAATCCGCCTTGGTTGTTCACACTGCGGCCGCATTGAAAAAAGTCAGACCTGGGTCTGATTCAGGACNNAAATCTGGGCAAGATTTGAGTGTTCACACTACTTCTGAAGTAACTAAGTCTGACCTGGTCACTTGACCCCAAAAAAATCAGATTTGGGCCACTCTTGCCTGCAGTCTGAACATGGTCTTAAGGACTGTAGGAAGTTATAAAAAATGATCGAAAGAAAAAAATATAATACTCAATATTGTAAATTGTTTTTGGCAGTCTTCAATCAAAAATACCTGATCTGAAAATGTTAATTTTATCTTCTTAACAAACAAGAGAATGCACAGTACTAGACGGCTCCCTCTGATACAGGCACAGCTCAGCACTGAAGACTATAAAGACACAGATTTAAATGTTTATGTTCACATTAAAAAGCATCAATGTATGTATCATATATATGACAAATAGGGTTTTAAGGCAGCCTGCAGCGCCTCCTTGTGGTTGAGGAAGTACTCAGATATTTTACTTGAGTGAAAGTGGAAATACAACAGTGCAGAAAATAAAGTAAAAGTAAAATTTGACGAAGGTAAAAGTATAAAAATATATAAAATATAAAAGTACCAAAAGTGCTCATTTAGCAAAATAGTTCATTTCAAAATTATTGGATAGGTTTGTTGATTATATTTTGTTATCAAATAAATATGCAGAAGAGTAAAAAGTAGAACATTTGCCTCAGCAGAAAGTGGAAATACTAAATTACTATGAAACTGTGGTTAAGTACAGTCCACCATCGATGGCTGTATACAGTAGTGGTTCTCAACATGGGGGTCGGAACCTCCACTAGGGGTTGTTTAAATGTTTAAATAATTATATAAAGATATAAACTCAACTAAATAATAATAATAACTCATTTTACAGCACAGAATAAACACAAGAATGAAGAAACTCTCACAAGAAACCAGCAGACCGGCTGCTCAGGCTTATTATTCACAAATCAACAGCCTGACTAATTAATCCCAACAGTGAAACTATTGAACTAATACACAGCAGCAGTAACACCACAGGGTAACAAAAAGTACTGCACACAATACAACCTCTTCAACATCAACAGCAAAGAGTTACATAACCTACTACACAGCCACAGACATTGAACTATTCAGACAATGAAGAGATGTAATGCGAAGATCAAAAGATGGTTGCAATAATAATAATAAATACAACAACAATAATAATAATAAAAAAAATGCATAACAATTTCAAAAATGCGAAAGAAAATACATTAAATAAAATATAATAAAAACAAATAATAATAATAAATACAAAAAATACATCAAATAAAAGGATAATAATATAAAATTCATGACAATAAAAACATATAGTAAATACAAAAAAGTGTATTTAAAAATACAAATAAAATAAGCATATGATAATAATAATAATAAAACAAAAAATAACAATAAGAACATATAATAAGTACATTAAAAATAGTAATAAAATAAAAATATAACAATAATACAAAATGCATATAAGTATATAATAATAATAATATAGAAAAATACATATAATAATAATATAGAAAATAATATTAATTAAATAAATATTTGTGAGCTTCTTTTGAGGATTTTCTCTGAAAAAATATAGAATAACACCACCACCATCCTCAATCAACGGCAGACTGTAAATAATAAGATCAGAAGCTGTGTGTGTGTGCGAAGGTCTGTGATGATGATTGTGAGTGAAACATCCATCAATATCCATCCATCCATCACCAGGACGGGGCCGACCAATCAGCTGCAGCCAGAGTGACTCTCCCTCTGCAGGCGCTGTTTATTTTCAAAACAGGAAGTAGTTCGACCACAACAGTCTCAGTATTAGTTACAGTTAGATGTGCCAAACGTTTCAAGTGCATTTTTGTCCAACTGAAGACTTTCGTTTCAAATGTATCATCTAGTTTCACAAAAACAGTGAAATTAGATGGATTCACTGTCAAATATAACGCAGAGTCTCTTCTCTTTGTTAAACGCTCCAGTGTGTAACATTTAGGAGGATCTAGTGGCAGAACCTGAAATACAATATTCATGTTTTCTTTAGTGTATAATCACCTGAATACAGGAGTAGTTGTGTTTTTGTTCCCTTAGAATGAGACGTTTTAATGTAGGGAGCGGGTCCTCTTCTGGCGGAGTCCGCAACGTTGAGGCGTCATGTTTCGATAGTAGCCCAGAATGGACAAACCAAAACTGACTCAGACATTACAGATTTTTTTACAGTAAAGATGACACTAAATCCTTTAAAACTCAGCTTTTAATGTCAAATTTTTTACCAGGTTGATCAGTGTTAGGTTATTTTGTGGCTGTTTTTAGGGCTACAGTTAAGGTTCTTATAATGAATTAATCTAACACTTATTTTCTTGATGAATTGATTTATCTTCTGGTATAAAATGTCATAAAACAATTTCCCAGAGCTGTAATTGCTTATTTTGTCTGATCAACAGTCCAAAACCCAAAGATATTAAATGTACAGCATTATAAAGCAGAGCAACAGTGGGTGTGTTCATCATTAATGTTGGTTTCTCTATTGCAGACCATACCACGAAATGACGGTGTGCTTGGAGAAGCTGTCTAATCTGATCGGCTGCTATTACCCAAACCCCATCATTCAAGAGTTCTTTGTCCAGATCCACTCTGAGTACTTCAAGAACTGTGCCGAGGAGGAGCTTCTGCACCCGGATGCTCCTCACGGGGTGGTGATCACCCTCACACTCATCCCTGTTTGCCTCATCCCCGTACTGGTTTATATGGTGATTTGGAAAAGTAAAGTCCAGGAGTGAGTGAGACCTGCACCATCAGTGAACTCACAGTACGTGTGTTATATGTTCCACAAACAGCTGTATATGTTTTTAAAGAAGAGTTGTATAATGCGGTCTGGAAATGAAGTTTTCACTCAGTATGTATTAAAATAATAGTTTGACATTTTGAGAAAAACTCTTATTTGCTTCCTGGCAGAGAGTCAGATGAGATAATTCACCTTTCCTTCGTCCTGCCCTGTTTTGCTCTGTAAAAGATAAAATGACTTTATAGTCACATCTTGAGTTAACTAATGTTAGCAAAAGGTTAGCTAACTAGAAAACTAATGACTGATGTAGATTGGCCAGCTAGTGAGCTAGCGTTTTGACTAGCAGTGACCGTCCTCTACTGGTTGAACACTAGCTATTGCAATTGAATTGTGCAGTTTTCTTAGCCAAACAAGCCCTGCTTCTAGTGTCGAAGCTCGGGCGGACTCTCTGTGTTTGCATCGTGGACACAGAGAGTCACCGGAGAGGAGAAAGTGGACCAAGATGTCACTGTTATTGGAGCACAGAGCAAAAAAGGGCGGGACTTAGGAAGGGTCAATTGTCCATGGCAGGCCATGTTTCTACAGCTCGGAGGTAATGTAGAAACATGGCAGCCTCTGTTATAGAGAATCCGCTCCGTCTGTAGATAAAAACATCTCATTCTAACGTAACAAAAACACAACTATTGCTATTTTCAGGTGATTAAACACTAATGAAAACACACCTATTAACACTATACTGCATTTCTGACAATTTATCCTCCTGAATGTTACACACTGGACCTTTAAAGAGATTTGGGAAATACTTAATTTCCTAAAATTTTGATGTTTTTATTTTCCTTTTTTGCTGAGATTTCTTGTTTTTGTTTTTATTTAAATCTCAGCAGCACAATTATTTTACTACTTTTATGCATTAAGTTTTGTGTGTATCTTATTTGTGAACATAAATAAAGTAAAAGCAGCTGCACACATACAGTACGTGACAGTACGAACAACGAGAATGGACTATGGATGTGTTTTCCTGTGATGACACAGAGTTCTCAGAACGGCTACCGCGGTTCCTGGTATAGTACTGTGTGCATTTGCATGTGTGTGATATCTTTGTGGGGACCAACGGATGAAAGTATGAAACTTTGTGTGTAAGTGGCTGATCTGCTGAGATTGGCACTGTGAGGTTGTTGGTTCATGATGGGTTGTAAAGGATGCTGAAGAAAGTTCAGACAGAAACTAAAGTACCAAAACACAGAAATTATTCTTGTACATACATTATAAAGTAAGCCATAATACAACAACAACAGTGCTGAAATCTAATGGACCGGCTGATGATACTTGTGTCAGTGACATAATGTGAGTTGAGCTGCTCTCATTGGCTGCTCTCGGTTTGGAAACAATAGCGGCTCATCTGCTCACACAGGATCTGGTATTCCAGATAAACAGTAAAATGTGTTTGTGAACAGATTTGAGGAGAGAAATAGTCAACAACAGAATCTGGATCCATATCTGATCAGCACGGTTTGACAGTTTACTCTGAGTTGTGCGTTGAGCTGGACGGACCACTGAATAGCGCCAATCACAAGGCTACTGCCCCGCCCTACGAGCATACCCTGCCTTTAATGGGTCCCTGTTACTCTAAAATGGGACCATCAGTTACTAAAAGGAACATCAATGCGAGGAAAGAAAACTGAAACTAGAGACTGAGAACCAGAACTCATCAGGAAACTGTTTACCTGAGACTCATAAAGCAAAGGAGAAGTCGCTCATTTCTTCCACTAAACTGAACGTAAAACATCAGAGCTCCCCCCTGCCGTAACATATATCACAGGTGTTAAGAACACTTCTCGACTGAGCTCTGCCTTTAATATAACGTGTCAATGACACAGCAGTGAATGTCAGGATGCCCCCCCCCCCCCCCCCCGGGTTGGCTCTACAGTCACCTGATGTAAAGAACAGCAAAGGGGAACGCCCCCT